GTGGCTCCTGTGCCTGCTGGCCGCCGCCCCTCCCCAGGTCGGCTCCCCAACCTGCTAGCTGTGTGACTGTGGATAACCCCGTCTCACCTATGCAGTGGGGGGTGTAAAATCTACATCACAGACTTGTCAGAAAGGTTAAAGGAGAGAACGTCTAGTGCGAGGTGGCTGTCTAATCAGTGTGGCCCACTTCTGCCATTTCTGTTAAGCTTCAGTGGACAGCATTGCAACAAGGTGTCCCCCACTGCCCCCGCCCCGGAGTACTGCCTCTCTGTGCCTGGTGCTGTTCCTCCACCCTTCAACTGCCCTTCCAGGCCTCCCCCAGCCCGTCCATCCAGGTCCAGCCCTGGTAACCACTCCCCTGCCCGCTGCACTCCCATCCCTCAGGCCTGTGTTCTTCATGGTGGGTGGCAGTGAGGGGCCCACAGGGTTGTGCACCAGGATTCTGCCCTCCAGCCCATGGCCTCTGATACCCTCCCCAACCTAGGAGGCCCCTTCTTTATTGGATCCTAAACCAGGATTTGTCTCTTGGGCAACCCCCCCACCCACCCACCCCCCATTAAAAAGGAGAAAGAGGCTAAGGATCTGGGGGTGGGGGGCTGGGAAACAAGGACCTCGCCTGAGGCAGAGAAGAGCAGCCGAAGCCCCAGGGTCCAGCCAAGCCGGGAGACTGTGGCTCCTCTCAGAAGCTTTCCTTGGGTTGCCATCTCCATATCTGCCCCAGGACAGAAGGCGCAGCGCTTCTCGAACTGAGCCCTCCTTGTCGGGGGCTTGGTATCTTCTTCCTCCCTAGGTAGGGAGGGTAGGGGACAGACACAGGTGCCTCTCAGTTCAGCAGCCGTGCCCCAGCCTCTGCCCACAGAGCCGCCTCCTCACTGCCTCTCCGTGTCGCTCTCTAAAGGGCGCCTCTGCTTCCTGATGGGTCCGAAGAAGTGGGCAGCGCTTTCTCTTACAGCTCAGTGGTAAAAGCCCCAAGGTTCGGTCATCAGAGACCTGAGACACCCTTTCCTCCCAGGGACCAAGACCTCATGGTTCTGTGATAACAAGATCATCATCATAGAAGATAATTGGCCACCTCATCTCCCCCTTGGGTTGGGTTGTTGGGAGGACTCAAGGACAGTGCCTTGCCTGTTGGAAATACTTGGTGAACGAGGTAGGTTTGTGTTTTCCAAGATGGCCACCACAGCCTATCACCTCCCATGTGCCTTCTTTCTTTTTTTTTTCTTTTCTTTTAATTTTTATTGGAGTATGCTTGATTTACAATGTTGTATGAGTTTCAGGTGTACAGCAAAGTGAATCAGTTATACATACATCCGCTCTTTTTTTAGATTCTTTTCCCATATAGGCCATTGCAGAGTATTGAATAGAGTTCCCTGTGCTATACAGTAGGTCCTTATTAGTTATCTATTTTATATATAGTAGTACGTGTATGTCAATCCCAATCTCCCAATTTATCCCTCCCCCCTTAACCCCTGGTAGCCATAAGTTTGTTTTCTACATCTGTGACTCTATTTCTGTTTTGAAAATAAGTTCATTTGCACCCTTTTTTTTAGACTCCACACATAAGCAATATCACATGATATTTGTGTTTCTGTGTCTGACTTACTTCACTCAGTATGAAAATCTCTAGGTCTATCCATGTTGCAGCAAATGGCATTATTTTGTTCTTTTTTGTGGCTGAGTAATATGCCATTGTATATACGTACCACAGCTTCTTTATCCATTCCTCTGTTGTTGGACATTTAGGTTGTTTCCATGTCTTGGCTATTGTAAATAGTGCTGCAATGAACATTGAGGGCATTTATCTTTTCAAATTATAGTTTTCTCTGGGTATATGCCTAGGAGTGGGATTGCTGGGTCGTATCGTAGCTCTATTTTTAAGTTTTTTTTAGGAACCTCCATACTGTTCTACATAGTGACTGTACCAATTTACATTCCCACCAGCAGTATAGGAGGGTTCCCTTTTCTCCACACCCTCTCCAGCATTTATTGTTTGTAGATTTTTTGACGATGGCCATTCTGACCGGTGTGAGGTGATACCTCATCGTAGTTTTGATTTGCAGTTCTCTAGTAATTAGTGATGCTGAGCATCTCTTCATGTGCTTTTCGGCCATCTGTGTGTCTTCTTTGGAGAAATGTCTATTTAGGTCTTCCACCCATTTTTTGCTTGGGTTGTTTGTTTTTTGATATTGAGCTGCATGAGCTGCACATGCCCTTCTTTCTTTTTCCAACCTAATATTTTTTATTTTTAAAATTGGCCCACGGTAAACTGCGCATATCTAAAGTGTACAATTTGGTACAATCTAACATGTATACACCTGTGAAACCGTCACCACTATCAGGGTACTGAGCATATCCATCAACCCTAAGTTTTCTCATGCCCCTTTGTCATTCCTCCCTCTACCCCACCCCTAGCATCTCCATGCAACCACTGGTGTGCTTTCTTGTCACTACAGGTTAATTGCATTTGCATTTTCTAGACTTTTATATAAATTGAATAATACTGTGCATACACTTTTTTTGTCTGGCTTCTTCCACTCAGCATAATAATTTTGAGAGCCATCCATGTTGTTGCATGGATCAACAGTGAATTCATTTTTTTTTAATTAAAAAATTTTTTTAATTAAAAAATTTTTTTTTTATTTTTTGGCTGCATTGAGTCTTCATTGCTGTGGTCGGGCTTTCTGTGGTTGCAGCGAGTGGGGGCTACCCTTCCTTGCAGTGAGTGGGCTTCTCACCGTGGTGGCTTCTCTTGTTGCGACTCTAGGCACACGGGCTTCAGTAGTTGTGGCACATGGGCTCAGTAGGTGTGGCACACGGGCTTAGTTGCTCTGTGGCATGTGGGATCTTCCTGGACCAGGGATCGAACCCGTGCCCCTGCACTGGCAGGTGGATTCTTAACCACCACGCCACCAGGGAAGTCCGACAGTGAATTCATTTTTATTGCTGAACTGTATTTCTCTGTATAGCTATATCATAATTTACTTATCCATTCGCCTATTGATGGACATTTGGGTTGTTTCTCATTTTTGTTTACTTCAGATAAAGCTGCTATGAACATTCATGTGTAAATCTTTGTACGGACGTCCGCTTTCATTGCTCTCAGGTAAATAGCTTGGAATTGCGTGGCTGGGTCATATGGTAAGTGTATGTTTAACTTCCAAAGAAACTGCCAAGGATTTTCCAAAGCAGTTGTATGAGAGCATCCTTGACAACCCTGGGTATGGCAGGTCATTTTTATTTAAACTTTCTACGAGGTGTGTAGTGGTATCTCATTGTGGTTTTAATTTGCATTCCCCAATGACTAATGATGTTACCTGGGGTCACCAAGCTGGGAAGAAGCCGAGCATCGGCAGGGAGAAGCCCACATGTAGGTGTGCTGCTGACGACCAGCCTCAGCTTGCAAGTGAGCAAACCCTCAGATGATCCCAGCTTCCAGCCTTCCAGCCACGCCTGCTGGTGCCACATGGGGCAGAAACAAGCTGACCCCACTAAGCCCTGCCCCAGCTGCAGATTCGTTGGCAAAGTAGATGATGGGTGTCATAAGCCTCTCTGTTTGGGGTGGCGTATGCAGCGGTGGCTAACTGACACAGTGAGTCTGATAGCTGTGATGTGTTATTACTACTGACCTAGTTCTTTTCCTCCACATGTGGTTTATATTTGTCTTCTCAGTAAGCCCTCAGTTCCTAGCAGACAGACATCGTTTCTTTCATTTCTGGAATGCCAGTCCCAGAACCTTGCTCCTGACTGTCCTGCCCCCTTCTCCCTGCGACTCCCTCCTCCAGTCCTACCACATTCTCTCGTCTGTTACATCAGCTCCCTCTGACCCTTTGCCTTCTCTTAGCCACCTCCCCAGGGGACAGAGTAGAGTGTTGAAGAGCTTAGGCTCTCCTGTTGGACTGCCTGGATTTGAATCCTGTCTCTGCTCCTTCTTTTCTAAGCTGTAAGAAATTGACCAAATTCTTTAACCTCTCTGAGCCTCAATTTTACCTTCTATAAAATGAAAACAGTAGCACCTACCGCAGAGGGTGGTGATGAGGCTTCAATGAGATGGTGCATGTAAAGAACTTAGACTTGGCCTGGTGCCACTACTGTTATTTTCACTGTGGTGTTGTCTGATGCCTGTATGGATATAAAAACACCCTCTCTCATTCTCTCTCAGGGAGCTCGTCTGCCCAGCTCCTGATGGAAAGGTGTCTGAGTGGGAAGAGCTAACATCTGTTGTCCTAGGAGATTTACAAACATGAAATAACTTGCATTCTTTTTTCTTTTTTATAAATTTATTTATTTATTTTTGGCTGTATTGGGTCTTCGTTGCTGCGTGCAGGCTTTCTTTAGTTGCGGCGAGCGGGGGCTACTCTGTTGCAGTGTGTGGGCTTCAGTAGTTGTGGCACGCGGGCTCAGTAGTTGTGGCTCACGGGCTCTAGAGTGCAGGCTCAGTAGCTGTGGTGCACGGGCTTAGTTGCTTCTCAGCATGTGGGATCTTCCTGGACCAGGGCTTGAGCCCATGTCCCCTGCATTGGCAGGCGGATTCTTAACCACTGAACCACGAGGGAAGTCCCTCACTTGCGTTTTTAAATCCTGGCTTCTCTTCTTACAGGTCTTATATTTCCAGGCAAAATATTCCCTCCTTCTGAGCCTACTTCCCGCACCCAGAACAGGGGTAATGCTGTCTGCCAAACAGGGGTGAATGCAGGGACGTTACAACGCACTGTCCTGACACAAAGTGAGCCCCTGATGAGTGGTAGCTTTTAACACGAATAACATTCACTCTGTAACGCAGCAGGTAATGGTTACTGAGGAAAGAGAACAAGGATGGGGGAAGATTTTTCAATGGATATTGTTTGGAGCTTTAAAATATTTATATCATCTATGTTGTTTTAAAATTAAATATAAATTTTAAGAAATGAATAAAATTGATAAATTCAGATTATGAACAAATAAAATTTAAAATATACTATGTTCCAGATAACTATTTTTGCCCTATTTTATAGATGGAGAAACTGAGTCTCAGAGTGGAATAACTTGCCCAGGATCCAGCAGCCAGCCAGAGCCGGAGCCGGGATTAGAACCCAGGTCTGCCTGACTCCAGTGCCCGGGGCCTTTCCCTGCGCTTGGTCTCTGGTTTCTGGGTAAGCACCATGGGGTGGTCAGGCAGCCTAATGGATGGGAGTAGCTTCCTGAAATCAGCTTCCCAGTGAGAAGCTGGTCCATCCCCATGCCTCCTTAGACTCCTGAAGACGGGGTGTCTCCTCTGGAAATCTTCCGGCTGGGTGTCGGGGCCTCTTGACCCTCCCACATTTGCTCCAGTGGGCAGGTCCCCACATCTCGGATGGCAGCTGTGTCTAGGACCGAGCAGGTTCCTTCAGAGGCGCAGACCCCTCACTCCCAGTTCTGCTAACTCATGGTCTCACGTGGGGAGCAGTCCCATTCCCATGGGGTGGGGGGCAGTTTGGGAGGGCTTTGGCACCTCCATAATTCCCATCAACTCCTTCTGGCAAAATAATGAAACAGTTTCAAGGCAAGTCCTTAAATCCCTTCTCGATGCCCCTCATTATTATGCAGACATTCCATAGGTGACCAGTGGCTGCTCTCAGACTGCTTCCTGACTGTGGCTGTGCCACAGGCTTCCTCCTTCTGGCCCAATAGAAATTCAGCCCAAATGTTACAGGGAGCAACGAAAGTCTAGAAAAGTACACAGCTGTGGGGCAGGGGAGGGCCGGTGTCACGGGGCCTGGCCCCATCATTTTGCACTTGAGGAACGTGGGTGGGGAGTGGGGCACTGACACATGTCGAGTCAGCCGTGGCACGGGCTCTCCAGGCCTTCTGAGTGCCCACCGATGCCCTTCTCCCTAAAGATCTTCCTGAGCACCGGCCCTTTGCAGGGAGTTAGAGGACAAACAACAAACAAAGCAAAATCATTGCCTTTGAGCACTTATGAATGTCCTGCTGGACAGGAGAAGATAGATTGAGGGGCGGAGCCCTGGATTCATGTCAAAACAATCAGGGAACCAAAGGCCATCCGGTAACAAAGTCCTGCAGCTCTCACAGAGTCCCATGGTCGCAGGCTCTGCAGACGTATCCTTTGCACCTGCCCCGCAAAAGACCACACCTGATATCCACAGAACACAATTCACCGGCTCCCCTGGGGGCAGAGACTGGCATCCAATGTGCTTTTAAAACAGCTTTATTGAGATTTAACTCACGTACCATTCAATTAACCCATTTTAGGTGTAGAAGTCAATGGTATTTAGTACATTCACAGTGTTGTGTAACTATTGCCACAATAAATTTTAGAACATTTACATCACCCCAAAAAGAAACCCCATACCTGTCAGCAGTCACCCCTATTTCTCCCCAGCTTCGCATCCCAGCCTGTTGCAGCCAGAAATCTACTTTCTGTCTTTATAGATTTGCCTATTCTAGCCATTGTCTACAAATGGAATCATATAATATGTGGCCTTTCTGTCTGGCTTCTGTCACTTAGCTTAATGTTTTCAAAGTTCATCCATGTTGCAGCTGTACCCACACTTCATTCTTTTTCTTGTTGGATAATATTCCATTGTACGGATATACTCTATTTTATTTACCCACTCATCTGTGGATGGGCATCTAGGTTGTTTCCACTTTTTGGCTATTCCGAATAATGCCGCTATGAACATTCATGTGCAAATTTTTGGCACCGAATTTTCAAAACATTTACAGCAGCTCAGTTATCTAATAGGAACCACTGCCTCAGTTGCTGTTCCTTTAAGGGAAAGTGGTAAATCCCATCCAGAAGCAGCCTGACGTGGGGGCCCCTCTAGGTGCTCCTCTAAGCAGCGAAGAGAGTGCTGGGAAGGGGGCAGCTGAGGGCTAACAGTGGCGAATTTTCTATAGCTCTCACTCTGCCATGGAGAAAAAGGAAAACTAAAAATAGTTTGTAGGTGGATCCCAATGTTGGTTTGAACTTCAAAGAGCCTCCATCAATAATTGTCTCCTGGTTGCACAGTCAAGGTGTCGAAATGGTTGGGCCTCTCTTATTAGCTGCTTCCTAGAGAGTATTCAGCTATCCTTTTTTTAATTCAGTGTGTTTCACTCAACTCTAGTTGCAACTTGAGGAAAGAAAACACATGTGAAGTCTCCTAACAGAAGAACAAATCACTGAGCAGAAATCGGCCAGCAGGCAGATGTCCTGGGGCTCATAGGATGAAGAGGCAACTCGAGAATCTGCTAGGCATTGGTGAGCAGGTGGAGTGAGGGAGGGAAAGAGTTCTGGGGGTGTTTGATTCTTCCTCAAAGGTTGGGTATTGTCATTCAGCCATTCCTGGTAAGAGACGCCGGAAAGAGCTAAGGAAAGAATCCCCCTCTAATTCTGACGTAGGAGCTTCTCAGGGTGGGGCACCCAGTTATCTGGTGAAGGCAGGCGTCTTCAAAGTGGAGGCAAAACAAGTTTTGCTCAGTTAAACACCATTAACATAACACTGCAAGTGTCCCAGCGGGTTCACAGGAGCAGCCCTGAAATGGCTCAGTTACACTTTTGAAGGGAAAAGATTCTGAGAAGTGACCAACATTAGTTGTGAACAGCAAGCACCACACAGGCCCCCGGAAAAGCTGGAAAGCACAGAGGCCAAGTCAGCCAAGATCACCGAAGGCCAGGGTAGAGCTGCTCACAGGTCATCCACACCCATGCATCCTTGGGCCTGGAAAGAGCTCACTCAGCTCAGACAAGCCCACTGGATTCCCAGGCTGCCTCCTGAGTGAGTGAGTCTCCACCAAGCCCAAGTAGCTCGTAAACAAGTCATAATGAGCGCAAAGCATCAGCCCCAGGGGCACCTGGGGGACTCCCGCCCAGCTCCCGCCACAGGCGTCAGGCTCACAGGCCTGGGCACAGGTCCCTGCTCTTCAGCTGTGTGTCACCAGCCTCTGTGGTCATTCAGTTTGGCTCATCACCCACACCTCCCACAGTCTGGAGTCTCAGGTGCCAGACCGTGCAGCTCACTTTGCAAGAATAATAATAAAAGTAGCTGTTGTGCAAAAATTTTCACAAATTTTGGGCCAAGTATTTTATACGCATTATTTGAGTCTGCAAAAACAAAAACCCAAACGTATCATTGCCCGTTTTACAAGCAAGTAATCGGAGGCTGTGATGATTAATTTTATGTATCAACCTGGCTAGGATATGGCGACCAGTTGTTTGGTCAAGCACCAGTCTAGATATTGTAAAGGTATTTTCTGGATGTGAATAACAGTAAAATCAGTAGGCTTTCAGGAAAGCAGATTACCCTCCATAATGTGGGGGGGGCCTCATCCGTTCAGTTGAAGGTCTTAAGAGAAAAGACAGAGACCCTGTGGAGGAAGAAGGAATTGGGCCTCCATACTGCCTACAAACTCGAGACCCCCAACATCAGCTGTCCCCTGGGTCTCCAGCCTGCCCGCCTGCCCTGTGCATTTCAGACCTGCCAGCCCCACAATCCCATGAGTCACTTTGACATAAATCTCTCCCTCTCTATATATATACATCCTATTGGTTCTTTCTCTTTATATATAGTCTCTATTGGTGATTACTACAGAGGCCCAGGAAAGGTAACCACCTCCCAGGGTCATACACTAAGGAAGAGGCAGTGCTGGCCAGCTCCAAAGTTGTGCTCTTAACCAAACACACAACAACCCTTTCAGCCTGGACTCTGAGAGGCTCCAGTCAGCTGATGCCCCAGATCCAAGTGTCTGAGGGTCCCTAACTCTACAGAACATCTCATGGGAAGGACAGCTAAGGGATGGGCACACACCTCTCTTTGGGAGGCTGCACCAAAAGAGCTGCTTCTCAGTGGCTCCTGTGTCACAGGGACCACGCTGGGTTATCACCCCTCGGGGGAGATTTTATTAGTCTGACTTGGGTTTCTAACTAATCTCCACGTGGTGCCCTCCAGATGAGGGGCTGTGTGAACCAAGAACACAGCATTTCATAGGCCGCAGCACCACCTACTGCTGGTTTATATGAACGAAGAGAGTGACTGAATCACGCTGATCTGAGGCCACTCCAGCATTAGCCCCATTTTACGGATTGGCAAACAGAGGTTCTTTAAGAACCAGCTCAAGTCCTGCCTCATCCACAAAGCTTTACACAACTACCATTTCTCCTCCAGACTTTTCAAGAGTTGGCACCCAGGGGATTCCAGATACAAGAGGAGTTCGGAAAGCTCTTTAGAAGGACGGACATGTCTCTCAGCCTTGCTGATTCCAGTTCCTGTGGAGGATATGGGTTTAGATTCCCCAGGTGATTCTAATGCACCACCACTGTCTCTACCACATTTCTTGGCACTGACTTGAATAGTTCACTACTTCATAAATACTTAGATGTGAGGCCTGGTTTTTATTATCTGCAACTTGAGAACGTGCTTCTCTAGGCCTCACTTTCCTCACAGGTCAAGCAGGGATACTCTGCTCTAATTCACACAATTGTGGTGAAGTTTCAACAAGGCAAGGCAGTTAGGGCACAGGAGCCACTTATAAAATTACTCTGTCTTATAGGGACTCTGAAATAGCACCCTGCACCGCACTGAGTCCATAGCAGGTGTTTTACTGCAAAACTGCACCATGATTTGTGGGTCCAGGTTGGTGTGGTGAGCGCACTGGCTGCTTTTCTCAGACAATGAGCTTGTCTTCCCACAGGTGTGAACAGGAATGGGCACAGCCCTGGTTTCCACACAGATATGGGCTCACAGGTACATGGAGGATACGCCCTGTGCCAGGTGCTTACCATGGAGTCCGTGTAAGGCTGGATGTCAAGTCCAGTGACAGCGATAGTAACTTCAGGGGGAGGAATGGGGTTTCTCCCCCAGCCATGCCCCCACTGCATGGAGAGTAACATTTGTAAATGTTTGTGTCTTCATTATGTCAGTTCTCAAATTCTCTTTTACACTTCGGTAACAGGACAATGGTTTTTTTGGTTTTTGGTTTTTTTTAATATGTTGGGGATAGGAGTTTATTCATTTATTTATTTATTTTTGCTGTATTGGGTCTTTGTTTCTGTGCGAGGGCCTTCAGTTGCGGCAAGCGGGGGCCACTCTTCATCGCGGTGCACGGGCCTCTCACTATCACGGCCTCTCTTGTTGCGGAGCACAGGCTCCAGACGCGCAGGCTCAGCAGTTGTGGCGCACGGGCCCAGTTGCTCCGCGGCATGTGGGATCTTCCCAGACCAGGGCTCGAACCGTGTCCCCTGCATTAGCAGGCAGATTCTCAACCACTGCGCCTCCAGGGAAGCCCAGGACAATGGGTTTTTCTGCAATGTTTATTCCATCGTCTAACACAATGCCTGGCCACAAGAGGCCATCCATTAAACAAAATTGGCTTGTGTGGTGAGATGGGCTTGAATCCAAAGAATGGGAACTGGTGAGTGTGGCCCCAAATGGAGCATAACCTGTGCCCATTTGATTATTATCCATTCAAAGACGTATTTACTGGACAATGTGCCAAACACAGTTCCAAGTGCTGAGAACATAGTCGTGCATGAGATTTAGGTTCTGTTGTCAGAGAGCAAAGCTTGCAACTAGTGGGAAAGGCAGTCAACACTGATCTAATTTAGTGACAAGTTCTATAAAGGAAAGAAAACAGGGTGATGTGATAGTAAGCGGGGTGATGGAGTGGATGGGGAGCTTCTGAGAGGATGGAGTGAATGATTCCTCTTCCTCTGGTTCAGACTAGCAGGGAAGGTGCAAAGAGTAAGATCCAGCCCAGAGCTCAGGTCTTCTTATCCTGCCTCTGAGGTTGGGCCAGGCCAGAAGACTGGATTTCAGATCTGCACTTTGGTAACGTAACAGGACAACCATTTTATGTGCAATGTTTGTCCTTAGTGATGGTAAATACATATGCCTGGTAGCTACAAATATAGAACATTTCTCAAGCAGACATGGCAAGAGTAGTGAAACGTCTGTTCATTCATTTACAAACCTAGTGACATGAAAAGAAAATCTTCATTGAAATCCGGCTTGATAGAAACTGTGCACAATGTTAATACCACATTTGCAGAGGGCAGAAATGCTCGGTCACCCTGTGTGCCTGTCATCACCAGGGCTCATGAGAAACATCCCATTTACTGAAGTGCCTCAGGGAATTCCCTGGCGGTCCAGAGGTTAGGACTCCGGCTTCCACTGCCGAGGGCCTGGGTTCAATCCCTGGTGGGGAACTAAGGTCCTGCAAAACATGAGGCACAGCCAAAAAAAAAAAAAATTATAATAATAATAAAGTGCCTCAAATGCCCTCAGGACCACATGCTGATGCAACACAGGGACAGAAAAGGCTGAGCTGAGCTGGACATTTACAAATGCAAAGAATAAGTTGTAGCCTTTACAATAATTATAGTGGCGTTTATCATACATCCCAAGAGTTGACCAGAGAGTAGAGCGTTAGCTGTGCTGTTAGAAAACCCTTCACTGAAATGAGCTGCAGTTTTGACCCCACACCCTCTTGTTCTGGGAAAAGAGAAGCTGTGTAGAGTGAATGGTCACCCTCAGACAGAAATTAAGGTACTTTTTCTTCCTCCTTCACGTCTCCACCCACCATGTGACACTCTGCAGTATGAGGCATTAGAATATAGCTTGGAAGAAAGAGGTCCCCCAAGCTTCAGTTCTTGGTGTGCAAAGCAAATTCTGGCATTGATCTTTTGAAACAGGCTAGAAGGATAGAAGTATCCTCCCCACCTCTTGTAATTCCTGTCCTTGAGAGAATGAAAAACAAGAAGGCAGAAGGTTTGCAAAGGATAAAAGAGATGCACCTAGGGGCTTCCCTGGTGGCGCAGTGGTTGAGAGGCCACCTGCCGATGCAGGGCACACGGGTTCGTGCTCCGGTCCGGGAAGATCCCACATGCCACGGAGCGGCTGGGCCCGTGAGTCATGGTCGCTGAGTCTGCGCGTCCGGAGCCTGTGCTCCGCAACAGGAGAGGTCACAACAGTGAGAGGCCCGCGTACCGCAAAAAAAAAAAAAAAATAGATGCACCTAAATATCAGGAGAAACATGGCCCATGAAGAAATGTGTAATTCTGCAAGGGCTGCATACACTCTTCTCAGAGGATTCAAGAATCACACAAGAAATAACTCTGGTCTTTAATAGAAAAAGAGAAGTCAAGATCATAAAAACACTCAATCCTCTTGAAAAACAGTGCATCAGTGGTTATGAGAGCCTACAAAGCACAAGACAAAATTGACAATGAAAGGAGCCTTAGGACTTAGCATTTTAAAGTGGAGGCCAGGGGCTTCCCTGGTGGCGCAGTGGTTAAGAATCCGCCTGCCAATGCAGGGGACACGGGTTCAAGCCCTGTTCTGGGAAGATCCCACATGCCACGGAGCAACTAAGCCTGTGTGCCACAACTACTGAACCCACGTGCCACAATTACTGAAGCCCACGCACCTAGAGCCCGTGCTCCGCGACAAGAGAAGCCACTGCAATGAGAAGCCCGCGCACCGCAACGAAGAGTAGCCCCCACTCGCTGCAACTAGAGAAAAGCCCGAGCGCAGCAACGAAGACCAACGCAGCCAAAATAAATAAGTAAATTTATTTAAAAATAATAATAAATAAATAAAATAAAGTGGAGGCCAGAAATGGCAATGGGGGAGGGAAGCAGGGAGAAATCTAAACAGCTTGTTCAGTACTTACTGCATGAAAACAATGTAATTAACAGGTTAAATATCACTATTCTGTCCACCATTTCCTATACACAACTAGATTTCTCCCAAATTCACATGCCTGGGAGATGGCTCATCAAAAATATTTGTGACGGGACCCCTGGTGGCACAGTGGTTGAGAACCCGCCTGCCAATACAGGGGACACGGGTTTGATCTCTGGTCTGGGAAGATCCCACATGCTGCGGAGCAACTAAGCCCACGTGCCACAACTACTGAGCCTGAGCTCTAGAGCCCGAGTGCCACAACTACTGAAACCCGTGCACCTAGAGCCTGTGCTCTGCAACAAGAGAAGCCACCGCGATGAGAAGCCCGTGCACTGCAACGAAGAGTAGCCCCCGCTCGTTGCAACTAGAGAGAAGCCCACGTGCAGTAACGAAGACCCAATGCAGCCTAAATAAATTTTTAAAAATATTTTTTTAAAAATGTGACTATTTTCCCTTGAAATTGCCACATCCAGGTATCAGAAAGACTTCCCCAAGAATATACCTTATATCTGTTAGTCTATTTCCTCTTCTTTTTTGGGGCAGCTGGTGACCCTAAGCTTTAAGCCCAGAGCTAAAATATTAACGTATGTAGCTAGCATGGAGGCCCAGAATGCCTTGAACTTTCATGTAACAGAGTAGCAAAAGACAGTGTCTGTTCTCAGGAAACCAGACTTCATATGGGCTGTCCTGTGTGAGTTAACTGGCAAGTGAGAACATATAAGGCTGTGGGCTAGCGTGGTGACACAGAGGTCCCTGGAACTTTACTGCCACTCCTTAATAGCAGAAGCCCTTTCTTTCTTGTGCACTGCTGAAACCCGTCACCCAGCAGGACGCCCAGCCACAAGAGGCCATCCGTTAAACAAAATTGGCTTGTGTGGTGAGATGGGCTTGAATCCAAAGAATGGGAACTAGCGAGTTGGCCCAACACGCTGGGGAGGCTGTACCGTTAGATCACTGTCCATTCAAAGAATGTGTACTTTGTGCCATGCGCTGTTCTAAGTACTGAGAACATAGCCCTGCACGAGATTTAGGTTCTGTCGTCACAGGGCAGAGCTTGCAACTAGTGGGAAAGGCAATCAACAAACACTGATCTACTTCAGTGACAAGTTCTATAAAGGAAAGAAAACAGGGCGATGTGATAGTAAGCAAGGTGACGGGGAGCTTCTCAGAGGATGTAGTGAATGATTCCTCTTCCTCTGGTCCAGACAAGCAGAGAAGGCGCAAAGAGTAAGATCCGGCCCAGAGCTCAGGTTTCTTATCCTGCCTCCGAGGTCTGGCCGGGCCAGCAGACAGGATTTCCCATCTACTCTGCTAGCGATTCGCCCAAGAAGACCCGGGCGACTTACAAAAAACGAAGCGGCTGTCCAAGAATCTTCTTTACGCCCTGGACTAGAGTGTCTTTGGGCAGCGGACGACGTGGGACAAGACCTGGGGAACTCGCCTCAAGGGAAGAAAGAACCCCCGCTCTCTCCCCAGACTGCAGCGGGGTTGCCACCAACTCGGCCGGCAGGACTGCACCTGCAGAAATAGCAGGGTCCGAGGCTAGAGTCCTAAAGCGAGCCTCAAACAGCAGACCCGTAGCTCACCGCCATCTTGGCGGAGGCGGCCCCCATTTAGGGGACGGGCCTCCCGAGACCCAAACAAGCCCCACGTGTCAGGGGCGGAGCCCTGCCACCTAACGTCACGGTGCGCGTGCGCGAGTGAGGTCACGTGCCGGCGTACCCTTGCTAGGCACCGTAAAGCGCGGAAGGTCGCCGTATCAAGCTTCGCCGGAACTTTTTCCTCCCTCCTGTCCCGCCCCCTTCCCTATCCGTGTACCACCTTCCGGCCCCCAACCCCGGCAACGGTTGTGGCTGCTGCCCAGTTTCAGCCGGAGTGTTGCTGAGCGCGGAGCCCGAGGGCGCCCGTGAGGTAAGGAGAAGCTGCGGAGCCGCCCTGGCGTCGCCGTCCGCGCGGACCGTGGAGGCCCGGGACCCCCAGCGCCCCCCCTTTCTGCTGTGGTCTCGGTCAGGGGGCTTCCGGCGTCCCTCGTTTCCCGTCGGTTCTGCCTGGTCCTCGGAAGGCGCTTCCCGGCGCCGG